TCACCTCAGCCTCCCAAAGGCGCGGGATTACAGGCTGAGCCACCGAGCCCGGCTTGCAGCCCTTTTTAAAAAAATTATTTTGGTTTTAAAGATGTGGGGTACCATTTCGGATTCAGTATCTAAATGGTCATTGTACAGGTAAAGTTTGGGTTTCACTTTGGTCTTCATGTCAACTAGTTTGAGATTAGGTATCTTTATCGATGAAGTATGCCCTCTCCCCCTGGCAGTTTCCCACTACTGCCAATCCCTTTCTTGTAGTATTATGATAATTGTTCAGGGTCCGCTTGTGAGTGAGAACATGTGGTAGTCAGTTCTTTGTTTCTGTGATAGATCACTAAATATTACAGACTCTAAATCCGTCCAAGTTGCTGTGAAGTTCATAATTTTGTTGTTCTTTTTTTTTTTTTTTTTTTTTTTTTTTTTTGAGTTGGAGTCTCACTCTGTCGCCCAGATTGGAGTGCAGTGGCCGCTCCCGGCCACCACAGCCTCGACCTGCTGGGGCTCTGGCAATCCTTCCGCCTCAGCCTTCCAAGTAGCTGGAACTACAGGCATGCGCTACCACGCCCGACTAACTTTTTGATTTATTGTAGAGATGAGGTCTCGTCAAGTTGCCCAGGCGGGTCTCGAACCCGCGGGCTCAGGCAATCCTCTCATCTCAGCCTCCCAAAGTGCTGGAATTACAGGCTGAGCCACCGAGCCTGGCTCATTTTGTTGTTCTTTATGGCTACGTAATATTCCATCGTGTATATGTACCACATTTTTTTTTTTTGAGTTGGAGTCTCGCTCCATTGCCCAGGCTGGAGTGCAGTGTCAGCTTGCTGGGCTCAGGCTGTCCTTCTGCCTCAGCCTTCCAAGTAGCCGGAACTATAGGTGCACACTACCATGCCATGCTAATTTTTTGATTTATTGTAGAGACGAGATCTCACCAAGTTGCCCAGGCTGATCTCTAACCCCTGGGCTCAGGCATTTCTCTCACCTTGGCCTCCCAAAGTGCTGGAATTACAGGCTTAAGCCACCATGCCCGGCCGTTCCACATTTTTTTAATCCAGTCTACTTTTGATGGATAGCATGATTAATTCTGTGCTTTTGCTATTGTGAATAATGTTGTAATAAACATGCATGCGCAGGTATCTTTTTTGTAGAATGATTTGAGTTCCTCTGGGTATATTCCCAGAAGGAGGATTGCTGGGTTGTATGGAAGTTCAGTTTCTAGTTCTTTTAGGAATTGCCACAGTGTTTTCCACAGAGGTTGTACTAGTTTACACTCCCACCAACCAATAGTGCCGCATACTCTCCAGCATCTGTTATTTTTGAGTTATTGATGATGGTCATCCTGACTGGAGTTAGGTAATATCTCAGTTTTTTTTTTTTTTTGAGTTGAAGTCTCACTCTGTTGCTCAGACTGGAGTGCAATGACATGCTCATGGCTGCCGCAGCCTCAGCCTGCTGGGTTCAGGTGATCCTTCCACCTCAACCTTCCAAGTAGCTAGAACTACAGGCATGCGCCACCACACCTGGCTAATTTTTTTCTTGAATTCTTGTAGAGATGAGGTCTCCCCAAGTTGCCCAAGCTGGTCTCAAGCTCCTGAGCTCAGGCAATCCTCTTGCCTCCACCTCCCAAAGTGCTAGGATTATAGCTGTGAGCCGCTGCACCTGGCGTCAATGTAGTTTTAATTTGCATTTATTTGATGATTAGTGAGGCTGAGCATTTTTTCATAAATCTGTTGTGCAGCCCATTTTATATTATATCTGGCTGCAGCCCTGCCACGTTGATGCTGGGGGGCCAAATTCTGTAACTACTCCATAGAGGATAATGTTCTTTCTCTCCAAATACAGCTGGAGGGAATCCAGATAGTGGCTTCAAGACTGATCAGACTTTCAACATACTTTCTCTTTTGTGCTGCTTGGTTCTGACTGCTTTTTGCATCTCTTTTAGAGCTCTGAGCTCTTCACCCTGACCTATGGGGCTCTGGTCACCCAGCTATGCAAGGACTATGAAAACGATGAAGATGTGAATAAACAGCTGGATAAAATGTGAGTGAGCTCCTTTGCAGGAGAGACAAGAATAGGGCCCTGCAGCATACTGAGTCTGCATTGCCCTTTAGAGCCCAAAACAGTCCTTTTTCTCTCTCAGCCAACATTTGGGTTCAGTTCCCAAGGAACTCATTTATTGGGAAGTTTTTTTTTGTTGTTGTTTGTTTTTTGAGTTGGAATCTCACTCTGTCGCCCAGACTGGAGTGCAGTGGCCGCTCCCAGCCACCGCAGCCTCAACCTGCAGGGCTCCGGCGATCCTTCCGCTTCAGCCTTCCGAGTAGCTGGAACTACAGGCGTGCGCTACCACGCCTGGCTAATTTTTTTTTGATTTATTGTAGAGATGAAGTCTTACCAATTTGCCCAGGCGGGTCTCAAACCCGCGGGCTCAGGTAATTCACTCACCTCGGCCTCCCAAAGTGCGGGATTACAGGCTGAGCCACTGAGCCCGGCTTCTTGGGAAGTTTTAAGATATTCTATTTTCCCTTTACCACCAGCAACCTTATGTTCAGCCATAAGCAGTTCAGATAGCATCAGAATGTGTTCTCTAATTTCCTTCCCAGGGGCTATAACATTGGAGTCCGACTGATTGAAGATTTCTTGGCACGGTCAAATGTTGGAAGGTGCCACGACTTTCGGGAAACTGCGGATGTCATTGCCAAGGTCATTATCTTGGGCCACCTGTCCATGCTGAAGGATTGCTATTGGGAGGCACTGCTTACTGCTCTTTCTGTCTCTCTTAGAGAGGTCCTTAATCTCCCAAAGACTGGCTAGGCAGCTCTTTGGGCCAAAGAAGTCTTTCTGGTGGTTAGGGAATAGCACAAATTATGAAAACAGGGAGAGTGATTGGGATCATTCCTGTGTATTAAAGCCCTACTGGCATCAAAGCCAGATCTCTTCCACCGTGAAGGTGTAGTAGAGTAGCATGGGGGTTCAGAAAACAGGCTCAGACACACCTGGCTTCAGATGCTGGTTCCAGTACTTACCAGTTCTGTGTTCTGAGGTAAGTTACTTTTAATTTTTTAAATTATCAGTTACTTCATCTTTGAAATGAAAAAAATAAGAGCTCAGGGTTGTTTAAAGAGTAAATGAATAAGCCGGGCTTGGTGGCTCAGCCTGTAATCCCGTGCCTTTGGGAGGCTGAGGTAAGTGGATTGCCTAAGCCTGCGGGTTCGAGACCCACCTGGGCAACTTGGCGAGATCTCATCTCTATAATAGATCAAAATGAGCCGGGCGTGGTAGTGCGCGCCTGTAGTTCCAGCTACTTGGAAGACTGTGGCGGAAGGATCGCCGGAGCCCAGTGGGTCGAGACTGCGGTGGCCACTGCACTCCAGTCTGGGCGACAGAGTGAGACTCCAACTCAAAAAAAAAAAAAGAGTAAATGAATAATGGACAGGCGCATTCAGGTAAAATGAATGCACTTAGCATAGTGTTGTGCATATAGTGAATGTTTATTATTAATAATGCTATATATTATAGTATTAATAAATGATATATCAATAACTCTGCGGTGTCAATTACCTAAAGGTTGGCTCTTTCTGTTGTAAGGTTGCTGGCCACACCCAAATCCTAAGCAGGGTTGACAGTGGAGAGATCTTTGTGATGGTCTGGAACTAGGAGGGTGGATATAGAAGCATGTCTTTAGAGTAATTCTGCCCCAGTGACCTGTATTCACTTTATTTTATTTTTATTTTTTATTTTAAAGACGTGGGGTACAATTCAGGATTAGGTATATGTATTCACTTTCAAGAAGGTGTATTCACATAGCACAGACAGGACAGGAGAATGGGTTAGGATCTCTCTGCACTCCGGCAGCCACGCTGTCAGATCAGTGCTCCTTTCGCTGAGAAGTGTAGGCAGACCTTGAGTTATTGCTTAATCTTATAATGCTGTGAAGGAGAGGGGTACAGTATTGTGTACAGATGTTTCTCCTTTTTTGCCCTGAATATCTGAAGTTTCATCATCTTGCATAGGCCATAGTTTTGTTCCTGTGCCACTTATATTCCCCTTTGCCAGTTCTGTCACCTTCCTTTTTGTACATCCTTGCTGCTGTTCCCCAGAGTGCTGTTGTGTTCCCTGACAGGTGGCGTTCAAGATGTACTTGGGCATCACTCCAAGCATTACTAATTGGAGCCCAGCTGGTGACGAATTCTCCCTCATTTTGGAAAATAACCCCTTGGTGGACTTTGTGGAACTTCCCGATAACCACTCATCCCTTATTTATTCCAATCTCTTGTGTGGGGTGTTGCGGGGAGCCTTGGAGATGGTGAGTGCAGCTTTTTGCCTTCTGGGCCACCTGAACTGCAGCAGGGGCTTGCTAAATGTTTGAATGAATGAAAGAGAAAAAGGAAGGGTCTTTGGCTCACCCCAGCGCTTTGCTGCCTGAAATGGTGATGCTGCTGAGATGGGATCCAGGTTGACTTATTTACGTGGTAATGAGTCCTACTATGCTGGGAAATGTGCTGTCAGCCCGCAAAGTCCAAGAACATCCATTGTCAGATTGGCTTACTTGGCAACAGTCTCATTCTTGGGTGTTCTTTGTTAAGTTTCTCCTTATGGGTTGGGACCACTGTCTTCTGTAAGGTAACACTGGGGGGAACCCCTGTCCTTGGGAGAAACCAGCCCTTTTTTTTTGACTGCCGGGAGTGAGTTAGTCATAACCCCAGTGGTTACCTTGAGGCTGTGACTAGGCAGCTGCCCCTTCATTCTCTCACTGTCCCCCAGGTCCAGATGGCTGTGGAAGCCAAGTTTGTCCAGGACACCCTGAAAGGAGACGGTGTGACAGAAATCCGGATGAGGTTCATCAGGCGGATTGAGGATAACCTCCCAGCTGGAGAGGAGTAACCATCCCTAGGACTTGAGGACAGCCAGCAGAGCACTTGCTGAAATCAGCAAGCCTCTAGAGCTCAGTGACTCTTTAACATGGATGTTGTATATTCTTCTAACTTTGTTTCCATTCTCCAGCCTAATAAAGAACAGACTGTGATATAGTCCATTTACCCCATATGTGCACATTTAGGAGGGAAGTTATTTGCTCCCTTTCCCTTCAGAGGGGCTGGATGTAAATCATCCTTGGTTGGACTAGAAAGAGCTCACATCATTTTACATTCCTGTTTGAATTTTCCAAAGCAAAAACCACTTTGACCCCATGAGGAGGCAAGCCTGGTACATTTATCCCTGGGCCTTCAGAAGGCCATTGGCAAATGGTTGTAGGGGTTGTGGGGTGGAGAGAGGAAGGGCTGGGAGGGGATGGGTAGGAGTTGTTAGCTGTAGTGTGACACACTGAAGTGCTTGCCAGGAAAGGAGCCAGTCATGCCGGAAACGCTGACTTCTGGGAAGCTACCCAGGTCTCATTCCTCCCTGCTGTTTGGAGGCAACATCTCCTCTTTTGCAGAGGGGCCATCCTTTTTTCTTACAAATTCTTCAATAAAGACACATTCTTGAGTGAAATCCCACTCCTGTCCTGTTTTCTTTCTGCTCAGCTCCGGGTGTTTTGTTACAATGGTATGAAGAGACCAGGTAGTTTCCTGGGCCCTGCCTTTCTTTGACCTGGTTTAGAAATGGCTTCTCCCCAGAGACTAGAGTCTGGGAAACTTGGGAGCCTGTATAAGCAATTGAGGCCCTGTCAGAGTCATTCTTGGCTCTAGTATCTACAGCAAATTCTAGAAGCAGAAAACTGCCTAAAATGGGCTGTCTTACACTTGGGCATGGTGGTCCATGCCTGTAGTCCTAGCACTTTGAGAGGTGGAAATGGGAGCATCACTTGAGCCCAGGTCTTTGTTACCAGCATAGGCAACACATTGAGACCTGGTATCTACAAAAAATAAGAATAAAAAAATTAGCTGGGCATGGTGGCACATACCTATAGTTCAGCTACTTGGGAAACTAACTCAGGAGAATTGCTTGTGCCCAGGAGTTAGAGGCTGCGATGAGTGTGATCATGCCATTGCACTCTAGCCTAGGTAACAAAGTAAGACCTGACTAAAAAATATGAACAAGTAAATAAAATGGGCTATCTTGAGCTGTTGGTCACAAGTTGGGAGATTTGGCCAGAAAGACCATGTAACCTCTGGTGCTGGGGGGGCCGTTTATTGAGTGCTTACCATTTGGCAGACACTATATTGAACACTTGTGTGTATTATCCAGTTCATGATAATTCTATCTTTATTTTTTTATTTTTTATTTTTATTTTTTGAGTTGGAGTCTCACTCTGTCACCCAGACTGGAGTACAGTGGCCGCTCCCAGCCACCGCAGCCTCGACCTGCTGGGCTCCGGCGATCCTTCCGCCTCAGCCTTCCAAGTAGCTGGAACTACAGGCATGCGCTACCACGCCCGGCTGATTTTTGATTTTATTGTAGAGCTGAGGTCTCATCAAGTTGCCCAGGCGGGTCTCGAACCTGCGGGCTCAGGCAATCCACTCATCAAGGCCTCCCAAAGTGTTGGGATTATAGGCTGAGCCACTGAGCCCGGCCAATAATTCCATCTTTATTTATTTTATTTATTTATTTTTTGAGTTGGAATCTCATTCTGTCGCCCAGACTGGAGTGCGGGAGGGGAAGCCACAAGTTGCCTGAGGTCATACAGTGAATAAGTGGAGAAGCTTGAATTTAAAAGTGGGCCAAACTGCCAAGCCCATGCTCTTCATGGAGATTCTCTTTTGATGCCTGGTTAGCACTGGGGAAAGAACGGAGCTGGCCCACAGCCCTCTCCCAGCCTCTCAGAACTTGGGATAGCTTTTAAAGGGAGAAAGCCATGGCTGGTAGCACTGTTCTTGGGACAGCCTAGGGTACTGGGCTCCAGACACTCAGGTTGTGGGGGAGAATGGGGTTCATGGGCGGCCCTGATGAGGGGAGCCGTTTACAGATGCATCGTGCTTGTGATGTGTTTTGGCTGTGCAAGGGGAGGACCGGGGTCCTTAGGCCCCAGGAAGAGGGGGAAGTTTTCACAGGACTTGCCTTCTTTAGCTGGGTTAGGCTACTGAGGAGGGAGTATGGTCAGTTTTGTGTCCCCAAGTATAGGGTGACTCATTCTCGCTCTGGGATTTCATCCTTTTGTGAGCCTCTTCACTGCTCCCTTTGGATACAATTTGGGGTCCCAGGGCAGTCACCTCATTTTGGTCAACTGTATCCTTAGCATCCCGTGTGGGGCTGGGTCCAGTCACATCAGAGTCTGAGTGAATGAATGAAAAGAGATTAATGAGACGAATGTTGGGGCCCAGATGTGGAAAGCTTTGTGTAGTGTCTGGGCTCTGCCAAAAAAAAGAAAGAAAAAAAAAACTGCACCACCCTTTCCCTTCCCCAGGGGGGCCCTCATCCTTCCTCCCGGTACCACAGCCCACTTCCGAGCAGCCAGTTGTATGGCCTGTGGTTTTGGATATTTCCTTTCCCAGAGTTAAACTTGGGCAACATTACAGGGTTAGCAGGCTGTGGTAACAAAGTCCCCCTTAGTGACTTTTCCCGATTGCAGCCCCACGATTGTGTGATGCCTACCCAGGGACTGAGGGAAGGGAAAGGACTAGGGACTGTGGAGCTATTTGTGACATCACCTCATCATCTTTCTCAAATGAGCCAAACATACAAGCCCCAGCAACCAAACTTCCTGGCCCCTTACTCTGTAGTTAGTTGCTTGTTTACTGCACATCACTCTGCCTTAGTCAAGTGTGACTGAGACTGAAGTAGCCCTCCAGGCAAGCCATTCCCTCCCAGCAAGCTGGGACAGGTGTGCCTGGCTATACGGAGAGGCTGGCTCATGGCAGAGTTCTGGGGCTGGAGTGATTTATGCTGGTGGCCTCCAGTACTCGAGCTGCCTGAGTGGAGCTCTAAGGAAAGGTCTCACTCTGCAATCTTTGGCCACCAGGGGTCTCCAAATCACCACTGTACTGTCCCAGAGAATGGTCATTGGACCCCTGGTTTCAGAATTTGCTAGAAGATGCACCTGATGGAGTAAATCTCAGAGGCTGATTGGAGCCTGGAAGTGCACCCCCACCTCCAGGCACCCGTGGAACCTGAAAGCAAAACTCACAGGACTGCCAGGCTAAGTGCCTGCCTGCTGGATCCAGGCATTGGAAGAGCACATTGGCCAAAGACGTCTGGCCCCAAACTTCAGACTCTCAGCTGGCCTCCTGAGTTGTACAAGCTAGCTCCCAGCTCTCCCCTAGGCAGCCCCACTTACTTCCTGAGTTGAGTCCAGAGCACCAGCTTCGTTCCCCTGACGTAAGAGTCCCTTTCCTGCCCCAAACCTCCAACACCAGTGAAATTTTCATATTCAGGTTACTTCTCCTGGTGGGGTTGGCCTCCCCTACGCTTATACTGGGCATCCAGGCTCGAGAAGCGGGTGGCAACAGAGGCCCCAGGAGCAGAAATTGCATTAAGTGAAATTAAAATAGTCTCCTAACAAGTAGTTCATTGTGGCTAGCAGGGGGTGGGGTGCAGAAAAACGTCCTCCTGGAGCTTAAGTGCTACCATGTGCTGTTCCCTGGAAGCCAAAGGGCCGGTGGGAGGGTGTGGCAGGCGAGGAGCTGCTGTTACTGATCCCCAGCCTTTGATGTAGGGCCAGGTCTGACCCCAGGACGGCTGCCCACCGCTGCCAGGGGAGCCTGGGACTCAACGCATTCCTGGGGGCAATTTACACTCTGGCAGGAGGAGAGAGGAAAGTTTTTACTGTGGGGAAGGGGGTGGAGGGAGGGTGCTGCAGCGGTGGCAGAGGTTGTTGGGTGGGGGTGGGATGGGGAGGGTTGTTATGAGGAAAAATGGACAGAGCCAGGGCACAGGGCAGCACTCCCCTGCTTCACCCTGTCTTCCCTACCCAGCTTGAGTGCAGGCCTCCTCCAGGAAGCCTTCTCTGATGGCACCCAGAGCTGGTGAGGAGCCCAATGGGCTGGCCCAGGTACAGCCCAGGGGGACACAGATGCTCTTTCCTCTGGCTTTGGGGACCTACACTGTCAGCCCTAAGGGCATCTATGGCTGAGTTAGGCTAGAGGAGGGGCGGGAGGATGGTGCACACGGGTAGGAGGGCATCTGTGAGTACACGGATCAGTGTTATTCAAAGCAAAAGCTAATTTTTTTTTTTGAGTTGGAGTCTCACTCTGTTGCCCAGACTGGAGTGCAGTGGCATGCTCCTGGCCACCACAGCCTCGACCTGCTGGGCTCTGGCGATCCTTCCGCCTCAGCCTTCCAAGTAGCTGGAACTATGGGTGTGCACTACCATGTCTGGCTAGTTTTTGATTTATTATAGAGACAAGGTCTCGCCAAGTTGCCCGGGTGGGTCTCGAACCTACAGGCTCAGGCAAGCCATTTGCCTCGGCCTCCCAAAGTGCTGGGATTACAGGCTGAGCCACTGAGTCTGGCCTTTTTTTTGAGTCAGAGTCTCACTCTGTCGCCCAGGCTGCAGTACAGTGGCACACTCACGGCCACTGCAGCCTTGACCTGCTGGGCTCAGGTGATCCTTCTGCCTCAGCCTTCCAAGTAGCTGGAACTACAGGCACACACCACTACACCCGGCTAATTTTTCTTGATTGGTTGTAGAGACACAGTCTCGCAAGTTGCCCAGGCTGATTTCAAACCCTGGGCTTGGACAATCTCTCACCTCCATCTCCCAGAGTGCTGGGATGACAGGCGTGAGCCACCATGCCCAGACTTGCAGTAGCTAATCTTTATTGTGGAGAGCCCTTGTGCCAGTGCTGGCCTAAGCACTTTGCATGTATTTCTCATTTTGCCTTCAAGACAACCTGCCACTGTCTGCTAATGAGGTGACGGAGGTGCACAGCTAGTACATGGTGGGGTCAGGACTTGAACCCCATGCTCTTGTCCGGTACATGCTACATATACATGTTTTTGTGTTTCTGTGTGTATCTGTTTCCTCGTGTTCCTTGGAGAATGTGTCTGTGTGTGAATTATTTCATTTAACAAAAATATCGTCCCATACTAGGAGCTGGGGACATGAACATGACCTAGACCTCTGTCCTACCTGCTGGAACCTTCTGGCCACAGAATGCCGTGTGTGTGTGTGTGTGTGTGTGTGTGTGTGTGTGTGTGTGTG